CAGTAAAATGAAATACTATAAATACTGTATAAGATAGATCAATCGATTTCGCAATAATTTTTGCTATAGTTATATAAGCCTTTATTGAATACAAAAAAATTTAATATATATATTTAAAGCTAAATAAAATAAACTTATTAATGATCAAACTTTTTTTTTATAATTTCAAGTTTAACAAATAGAGTAATGATACAGTAGCAGCAAATTAAATTTTACTCTAATTTATCTAACTCCTCATAAATACTGTCTGGGATTCTTCTGTGAGTTTTATATTTTTTTACTGCATATTCTACTAGTTTTTTTGCTAAGACTATTTCTATAAATATCTATATAACGCCAACATTTTCTTGAAAACTTTCTAATGGTTATTAGAGGTACTGATTCAAGACTTTCAGTGACAGTTTTTTGTAACCCCAACCATGAATAATCACAATTTTCTCATGTATGCCTTTTAGCAGCTTCCTAATATCTTTCGATAAAGTTTAACTCACAATGGAATTTGGGAAAAAAAATGCATTTATGTCTTGCATTTTCAATTAATTCTTGAATTGCATTTTTTTGAGCAACAAAATCGGGTTCCAAAGACAATACTCTATATGCACAACAAGAAACTCTTGAAGTATCTTTGATCTTTTGTTTGCAATTTTTACAATCTAAGACTAATCCTTCAGATAGCTATTTTTTACATTCAATTAGTACTTGTTTAGTACCTTTAGGCTTTCCTCGAAGTTCCTCATCCAATTCCCCATATAATTCCTTATATAGCTTCACATCTAAATCAGTTTCCGGAAACACTATTGATTGTAGTTGACTATCTTCTCCAAAATAAGTATCATGCATAATCGGCTGTTTTCCACCTGGGCCCAGATTCATTCTACTTGCAATTAAAGCATCTTCACTAAATGCACCATGATTAGAACTATTGTCGAAGGCAAACACAGCCACATAATTAGGATACAAAGTCTCAAAAATAGGAATCGCCTTATAGCGAATTTGTTCGAGAAGGTGTTTTGTTGTCCAGTAACCTTTTTGATTTGCACCAGGTCTCAAGTAACATCGTGCTTCTTTAGGTATATCAGGGTATTTTCTATATTGGATTGTTGTAAACATAAATGTCCATCAACTTCGGTAAGAAATTCACTAACCATGATCGACCTCCTATTTCCTTTTTTTCGTAGTGGCATTTTCTATCTTTGGTCCATACACCACATTTACTGTCGTTTAAATAAAATACACATTTGTCGTGTACTATAAGAATTCTTTCTTTTTCACCTTGGGGTAAACTAGGACATATTCTTTCCATGGAATCCCCTTCATATTTTGACATATACTTTTCATGATCAAATATTTTTTCCAAAAATTCTCTTCTATATTCCAAAATGTTTTCCCTCTCATGACCATCATAATATATACTTTGATGATATCGTCGAAACGAATAGCCAAAAACCTTTAGCCATCTCTCTGCGGTTTTTAAGCTAACAGTTTTTTTTAAAAAAATTCCAATATTAGAAAACAACACATCTTCGACAAATTTTTTAAATGTGGCGAGAGTAACCTTAAAGTTTTGGCTTCTAATCCAAATATGACATTTGTCTCCAATATCTTCATCGTCAATTATTCTAATTGTTTTTTGGTGTTTTCTATGTCTAGATAGTGGGAGCTTATCGTTAAGTAACCAATACTTCGTAAAATACCGAATTTTTCGAGCTTTCCACATATTACCATCAATGAAGACCTTACGAGCAACATCCAAGCTAGCTTTAATTTTTCTACGTCCATTATTTTTACTTAATAAAATAAGGTATTCAAAAATAGCTCTTTTGTAATTGTATTCTTTAACCATTAGTTTATTATAGTTTTGTTCTAACTGCTTTTTTAAATCATTTGCTTTTCTATTTATTGTAAAAGTATATAAGTCAGGTTCACTATCTGAGTCATCAGAGATTTCTTCTAAGTCGTTTGGGTCTAATGGTTGTGAACTTGTAAAAAAGCTAGTAATTTTTTTTGTACTAACTGCTGCTTTAGTAAAATACCAGTTGGCCTGTACTTATCATAATAAGTTGACTTTGGTGTCTTGCCCTTCATATACAGGCCCCGTTTTGTTTTTTCGAATTGACTATCATTTTTCTATGCCAAGTTAAGTTCTTTAATTTCACTCTCCATATCATCCCATCCACTATCATCCTCATCTCCCTATTCTAAATCACTTACATCTAACTCATTATATTTATTCCAGCCACCATTTTTCTCACCTCCGTTTTCAATGCTAACGTCCAGTTCATCTTCAGTATCGCTATTATATAGCTCATTTACTATGTTTTCTTGATCAGTTAACTCCATTTTTTTGGTATTATACTGTCCTTTAATATCTCTAGTCTGATTTTTGGCTTTTCTTTTTCCTTTGGAGAGGAGTGGCATTTTTTTTATTTTTTTATAGAAAGTTAGAGATATATGACTTGTCACTATGTCTAATCATGAAAAAAAGATTTTATTTATAGTTTATATGAGGTATTTTTTTTAATTTTATTTTATTTTTTTTTAATAATTAATGCGACGAGATGTGTTTTATATATTAATTTAAATATATGTTTCTTTATAAACGTTTCAGATATATATATATATTTATACAAAAGAATACCTTTTATTATTTTAATCAAGGCTTTGGCTGAAATAATAATTTTTTTCTAACTATTTAGTTACATTCATTTTTTATTTTCACACGCTTTAAAACAGCTTTATTTAAGACCTCCTATTTCGCCATTATATCATTATTACTTTATTTGAGGTTTGCTATTTTTAGTTTTATCTTATTCTCAACTATGCTTCTTAATTACCTTAATTACTTTACTTATTAGGCTAGTATCTCTGGGCTGTTATATTTTAATCACGACATCGTATAAGAATAAAGCTTTGATCATTAAATGATAAGTGTCTTAACAAATATTTATTTGAATTTATTATTTTTATTTATTCATTTATTTTTTATGTTACCAGAAATGGAGTACAAAGTATGTAGAGTATGGTTTAATGACAAGTGAAAGGGTGTATCTGAATCTGTAAATCTGATTGAATTGCTTTTTCATGTAATCTTGACGCCACAATATGTATTACAGTATACTTTCAAATTTGTCAGTATTTTTTTTTTATCATCCTTCGGAATTGACTAACCAAATACCGAAGCCGGTTTTAGCTGCACAATTGAGTCAAGCTGACCAAAGCTGATAAGCTGCAACTTAGGCTATCGCTATGGTGTTGCAGCTTTTAACTATGACTCAAGTTGTGGTAAATAATATCGTTAAGCTTTGCATTAAATATTATTATGTTGCTACAGTAATAATGATTTTAAAGCAATATAGCATTTAAAGAAGCCATACAAGCGTTAACAGCTTTAAAAATCTTTAATAGGTTGAAGTTCGTCTACAAAACTCTTTGTTATATGATATTATGTATAATCTATTATTTTGTGTTTTGTACTTATCGGGTCACGTGATTTTTCTGCTCACTGATTGGATAAAATAAAATAATTGATGTTTGAAATTTGAAGATTATTAATAAAAATGTCTAACATTAAACTTTAATACTTCGTGAAAATAAAAAGTTACCAAAAAAACTAAACTGTAAATCTGATAGAGAAACATTAAATTTATTATTTTTACGGTTTAATTTTTTAATTTTATTTTAATAAAAAAACTAGTTATTGTTTGAAGTTGCATAAATTTGTTTGATGACTATAGGTGATATGAACCATAGAGATGAAACTTTTTAATCTGAGTATCTAAATAATCCGAATTTCACTAATTATTCAGATAAAATTTTAACTTCAGATAATAAATTCGAATATCCGGTTATCTGATAATAGTAATATTTGTATGATAAATTAATAAAAAAAAAATCATTTTTCAATAATAATAATATAATAAATATAATATATTGATTTTTTTTCAAAAAAAATCAGTTATCCAGTAATAATGATATAATAAAATAGAATAATATATATATTAAATTCTTTTTTTCAAAAAAGTATATTATCTATTCTTATTAACTATGAACGAAAATAATGAAAGTCTAAAAAGTAACCTATTTGATAATTCAATGAACGAAAGTAACGAAAGTCTAAAAAGTAATCCATCTGATAATTCAGAATCAACAAAAAAAAGAAAACTTTCTTTTTCACCAACTAGCTTAAATGAATCTACAGAAAAATCCATAAGTCTAGTATGGAAAAAATATTTTAAAAAAAGTGAAAACAAAAAATTTGGAATATACGAAGTAATTGTACGTAATAAAAATGGATTTGGACAATGTGGAAAAAAAATAAATATTAATAGTGGAAAATCAACTAGTAATTTCTGGTATTATCTTAAAATAGTACATGGCATTAGCAAAGATAATGATAATAGTAACAATGATCAATTACCTATAAATCCAATTCGCAAGCAAAATTTGAATTATAAAATTGTAAACTTTATATATAAAGACCAACAGCCACTTTCAGTAGTTAATGATATTGTATTTGTTGAATTAATGAAAGAGGCTGTTCCAAATTACAAGCTTTTATCTAGAAAAGCTGTAAAAGCATTATTATTACAAGCATTTACATATTTGAAGCAACAACTTATTCATAAACTTTCTGAAACACTTATTTATGGTTCAATAACAACAGATTTGTGGACTGCATGATCAAGAAATGGTTATATCAGAATAACATGCTCATATTTAGATAAAGATTTTAAGCTATATGAGTTACTTTTGGGACTAAGATATTTACCTTATCCACATACGGGTGAATTTGTTGCAAATATAATTGAGGATATTATTAGTGAATAGAATTTGGATAGGAAAATCTTTTGTGTTACTACTGATAATAGAAGCAACATGATTAAAGCAATTTGGTTTTTACCTGAATTAACTCATATATCATGTACTGCCCATACCTTGCAGCTTGTAGTTGGAAAGGGGCTTATGCTATGTAAAGTACTTGTTGCTCGGGCTAAAAGATTAATTGATTTTTTTATGAGCCCAAAGCAAAGTGAAAAATTGGAACAAGTTCAATTAAAAATAAATATATCTGAAAATCAGGTTTGTTTTATTTATATTATACATATATATTTAATTGTTAACTAATTATAGTAATTAATAAACTTTAATTTTATTATTTTTAGATTATGCATAAAACAGGTCATTATTTACAGGTTGTTGCTGATACAAAAACTCATTGGAATTCCTCATATCTCGCATAGAAAAGATTAATAAAATTACATCTAGCAATAAATGTAATGATTAATATACTTGAAACAGAAACTAGTCGTGAATCAAAATGTGAAGCAACACACCTTAAGAAAATTAATTTGACTAATATGGAATGGGATATTATTAAAGATCTTTTACCTATATTAAAACCATTCGCTGATGCAACAGAATTTTTAGGCAGAAGCAATTATTCAACAATTAGTTTTATGTTTTATGCAATTTCTCTTTTGGCTTCTGATCTTGTATCCAATGATAATGTTTCAGAAATGCAACTGCATTTAATGATGATATTACTTATGAAGATGCTGATGAGGAAATAGACGATGTAACTACTGGGGCTTGATGAATTAGGATTAATACACCCCAAAATTGTAATAGGCTTATTAGATGAGTCAAATTTGCTTTAAATAAAAGTTTGCTTCATTATTATTCTGTTCCTCCTGAAGTTGATATGCTATGGTTCACATCACCTATAGTTATCAAACAAATTTATGCAACTTCAAACAATAACTAGTTTTTTTATTAAAATAAAATTAAAAAATTAAACCGTAAAAATAATAAATTTAATGTTTCTCTATCAGATTTACAGTTTAGTTTTTTTGGTAACTTTTTATTTTCACGAAGTATTAAAGTTTAATGTTAGACATTTTTATTAATAATCTTCAAATTTCAAACATCAATTATTTTATTTTATCCAATCAGTGAGCAGAAAAATCACGTGACCCGATAAGTACAAAACACAAAATAATAGATTATACATAATATCATATAACAAAGAGTTTTGTAGACGAACTTCAACCTATTAAAGATTTTTAAAGCTGTTAATGCTTCTATAGCTTCTTTAAATGCTATATTGCTTTAAAATCATTATTACTGTAGCAACGTAATAATATTTAATGCAAAGCTTAACGATATTATTTACCACAACTTGAGTCATAGTTAAAAGCTACAACACCATAGCGATAGCCTAAGTTGCAGCTCATCGGCTTTGGTCGGCTTGACTCAATTGTGCAGCTAAAACTGGCTTTAGTATTTGGTTAGTCAATTCCGAAGGATGATAAAAAAAAAAATACTGACAAATTTGGAAATATACTGTAATATATATTGTGGCATCAAAATCATATGAAAAAGCAATCTAATCAGATTCACAGATTTGGATACACCCTTTCACTTGTCGTTAAACCATACTCTACGTACTTTGTACTCCGTTCCTGGTAACATAAAAAATAAATAAATGAATAAAAATGATAAATTCAAACAAATATTTGTTAAGACACTTATCGTTTAATGATCAAAGCTTTATTCTTATATGATGTCGTGATTGGAATATAACAGCCCAGAGATACTAGCCTAATAAGTAAAGTAATTAAGGTAATTAAGAAGCATAGTCGAGAATAAGATAAAACTAAAAATAGCAAACCTCAAATAAAGTAATAATGATATAATGGCGGAATAGGAGGTCTTAAATAAAGCTGTTTTAAAGCGTGTGAAAATAAAAAATGAATAGAACTAAATAGTTAGAAAAAATCATTATTTCAGCCAAAGCCTTGATTAAAATAATAAAAGGTATTCTTTTGTATAAATATATATATATATCTGAAACGTTTATAAAGGAACATATATTTAAATTAATACATAAAACACATATCGTCGCATTAATTATTAAAAAAAAATAAAATAAAATTAAAAAAAATATCTCATATAAGCTATAAATAAAATCTTTTTTTCATAATTAGACATAGTGACAAGTCGTATATCTCTAACTTTCTATAAAAAAATAAAAAAAATGCCACTCCTCTCCAAAGAAAAAAGGAAAGCCAAAAATCAGGCTAGAGATATTAAAGGACAGTATTAAATGAGCTATATAATAGCGATACTGAAGATGAACTGGACGTTAGCATTAAAAACGGAGGTGAGGAAAATGGTGGCTGGAATAAATATAATGAGTTAAATGTTAGTGATTTAGAATGGGGAGATGAGGATGATAGTGGATGGGATGATATGGAGAGTGAAATTAAAGAACTTAACTTGGCATAGAAAAATGATAGTCAATTCGAAAAAACAAAACGGGGCCTGTATATGAAGGGCAAGACACCAAAGTCAACTTATTATGATAAGTACGGCCAACCGGTATTTTTACTAAAGCAGCAGTTGGTACAAAAAAAATTACTAGCTTTTTTACAAGTTCACAACCATTAGACCCAAACAACTTAGAAGAAATCTCTGATGACTCAAATAGTGAACCTGACTCGTATACTCTTATGATAAATAGAAAAGCAAATGATTTAAAAAAGCAGTTAAAACAAAACCATAATAAACTAATAGTTAAAGAATACAATTACAAAAAAGCTATTTTTGAATACCTTATTTTATTAAGTAAAAATAATAGACGTGAAAAAATTAAAGCTAGCTTGGATGTTGCTCGTAAGGTCTTTATTGATGGTAATGTGTGAAAAGCTCGAAAAATTCAGTATCTTACGAAGTATTGGTTACTTAACGATAAGCTCCCACTATCTAGACTTAGAAAACACCAAAAAACAATTAAAATAATTGACGATGAAGATATTAGAGACAAATGTCATATTTGGATTAGAAGCCAAAACTTTAAGGTTACTCCCGCCACATTTAAAAAATTTGTCGAAGATGTGTTGTTTCCTAATATTGAAATTTTTTAAAAAAAAACTGTTAGCTTAAAAACCGCAGAGAGATGGCTAAAGGTTCTTGGCTATTTGTTTCGACGATATCATCAAAGTATATATTATGATAGTCATGAGAGGGAAGACGTTTTGGAATATAGAATAGAATTTTTGGAAAAAATATTTGATCATGAAAAGTATATGTCAAAATATGAAGGGGATTCCATGGAAAGAATACGTCCTAGTTTACTCCAAGGTGAAAAAGAAAGAATTCTTGTAGTACACGATGAATGTGTATTTTATTCAAACGATGGTAAACGTGGTGTATGAACCAAAGATGGAAAAATGCCACTACAAAAAAAAGGTCGATCATGGTTAGTGAATTTCTTACCGAAGTTGATGGACATTTATGTTTACAACAATCCGATATAGAAAAATACTCTGATGTACCTAAAGAAGCACGATGTTACTTGAGACCTGGCGCAAATCAAGAAGGTTACTGGACAACAAAACACCTTCTCGAACAAATTCACTATAAGGCGATTCCTATTTTTGAGACTTTGTATCCTGATTGTGTGGCTGTGTTTGCCTTCGACAATAGTTCTAATCACGGTGCATTTAGTGAAAATGCTTTAATTGCAAGTAGAATGAATCTGGGCCCAGGTGGAAAACAGCCAATTATGCATGATACTTATTTTAGAGAAGATAGTTAACTACAATCAATGGTGTTTCTGAAAACTGATTTAGATGTGAAGCTATATAAGGAATTATATGGAGAATTGGATAAGAAACTTCAAGGAAAGCCTAAAGGTATTAAACAAGTGCTAATTGAACATAAAAAATAGCTATCTAAAGGATTAATCTTAGATTGTAAAAATTGCAAACAAAAGATCAAAGATACTTCAAGAGTTTCTTGTTGTGCACATAGAGTATTGTCTTTGGAACCCGATTTTGTTGCCCAAAAAAATGCAATTCAAGAATTAATTGAAAATGCAAGACATAAATGTATTTTTTTTCCCAAATTCCATTGTGAGTTAAACTTTATCGAAAGATATTGGGAGCTGCTAAAAGACATGCATGAGAAAATTGTAATTATTCATGGTTGGGGTTACAAAAAACCGTCCCTGAAAGTCTTGAATCAGTACCTCTAATAACCATTAGAAAGTTTTCAAGAAAATGTTGGCGTTATATGGATCTTTATAGAAATGGTCTTAGCAAAAAGCTAATAGAATATGCAGTAAAAAAATATAAAACTCACAGAAGAATCCTAGACAGTATTTATGAGGAGTTAGATAAATTAGAGTAAAATTTAATTTGCTGCTACTGTATCGTTACTCTATTTGTTAAACTTGAAATTATAAAAAAAAAGTTTGATCGTTAATAAGTTTATTTTATTTAGCTTTAAATATATATATTAAATTTTTTTGTATTCAATAAAGGTTTATATAACTATAGCAAAAATTATTGCGAAATCGATTGATCTATCTTATACAGTATTTATAGTATTTCATTTTACTGATTTAGGCTATTAATATTGGCCAATAGAAACTATGGCATGTGATCAAAGATCGATATCCAAATTTCGGACTGATCTGCATTGTTTGATGACTATAGGTGACGTGAACCATAGCTAGGAGGAAGCATACATCAGAAACTTTAGTCCATTGGTCAGAAATATATCAGCTTCTCTATTTTAATTTCGTCTAATTTATTGTAATAGATCCAATGCATTGTCTATTTTTAGGTATATCTAAATGGATTATAAAATTATAGATTGAAGAAGCCATTTTAACATCCAAGGATCTAGAATTAATGAACAAACGGGCTAAAAAAATTTAAGTTTCTTTGGATATTGGCTGTATACCTCAAAATTGCAATGGGGGATGAATTTTCAGGTTTTATAGCTAATCAATAGAAAACTTTTGTTCTGGTGTATACAACTTCCATAACATGGGATTTGTTGCAAGAAAATAATAAAAAGATTTTAATATATTTTGTCTAGGCATGCTCAATTTTGGTAAGTCTATAAGTATTATCGTAATTTAATAAGGAAATTTTAATAATAATACTAATTATTTTCATTGCTAAATTTTTTTTTTGAATTACCTATAAGTATGCCGAATTTTATGAAAAAACAAATTAGAGGAAGCATATTAGTACTTACTTAATATAGTAAAGCTTATTGAAAAAACCTATGGTTCTGAAAAAATAATGCCTAATTTACATTTATGTTTATATATATGTGAATATGTTATGGACTATAGGCCTATATATTCTTTTTAGTATTTTAGTTTCGAAAAAATGAATGGTTTATTAGGTATTTTTTATGTTTATAATAGCTATATATATAATCGGTAACATGTTTTATATAGAGTTTTGTTATGTTTATCAATAATCATATATATATTTTTTTTTTTAATATTTGGGGTGTAGCTCCTGCCCCAGACTTTTATTAATACTTAAGTAAATTGACATATGATGG